ATGGAACATTCAAGTAAACCTGAAGAAAACCAAAGTGATGATTTTCAACAAAACAGGAAGAACATTCAAGAACACCAAATTTTCCTTCGGCGCAGAAAATATACAAATCACAAGCTCATATACCTACCTAGGTCTAATTATGTCCTCGTCCGGCAGTTATTCTTTAGCCAAAAAACAATTATCTTTAAAAGCTCGTAAAGCAGTATTTAGTCTTAAACCCCTTATCCGCACCTCCTTGTCCCCCAAGGCCTTACTCAAACTCTTTGATGCGTGCATCAAATCTATAATGTTATACGCCTGTGAGATCCGGGGTAAAGATTACTTAAATGACAATTGTCCTGTAGAGATAACTCAGAACCGCTTCTGTAAAAGTATCCTTGGTGTGCACAGGAATTCTAGTAACCTAGCAAGTAGGGCAGAACTTGGGTTGTTCCCAACAGATATAGATGTATCCGTCCGTGTAGTTAAATATTGGTTAAGACTCAAACAACTGGATACTCTCACACACCCCTTACAGGTAGATGCATTACTCTGTCAGCAACACAATATGGGAAATAGTAGTAAGAAAAGCTGGCTACACCATGTCAAAGAAATAATTAACAATGCAGGCTATTCTTTTTTATGGAACAACAACCACTGTACTCTAGACAACAAGAATATATGTACATTGTTGAAGGGAAGACTAACCGATATGTATGTTCAAACGTTCTTTCACCAATTGTCTGTAGATAACGGCAAGCTAAGATTTTATAAGACTCTCAAATCCGACTACTCTATGGAAAAATACCTATACCACAATGAATTTGACGAACGAGCTGCCATGTGTAAGATCAGAATAAGTGCGCATCCACTAGAGATAGAAAAAGGCCGCTATAGAAAACTACCTGTGTACGAGAGATTATGTAAATATTGTACAATGAATGCAGTGGAAAATAAAAAAATACATTTTGTTAGCCAGTGTCCTCACTATGAGACCGAAAGAAACAGATTATTTCGGACGGTTACAACAATTTCTCCATCCTTTCGTCATTTAGAAGATCACAAAAAAACTGCATTTCTACTTAGATCACAAAACCCACTAATTATGCAGAATGTGGGACTATTCATTATCCACTGCCTTCAAAGAAGAAGTCGAACCCCATAATAGCTAGCGTAGTAGTAGAAGTAGAAGATTTTTCCAGACAGTTGTTACCTGTCTCCTGTTACTGTATTGCAATGTGTTTTATTCTTAATTGTAAAAGCAATTAGCCTTCGGGCATGATTTTGCGAATAAAGTTTCTAATTAATCAAAACTCTTCAACCTATTCATCTCTTCCGGCTATTTCCCCCAGCAATGGTGCACAAGTCACATAGTAGCTATTCACAAGGGCGGTGCCAAAGACGATCCAAACAATTACAGGGGGATTTCTGTCACAAGCTGCCTGGCCAAACTGTTTACAACAATCCTGAACACCCGCCTCACCAACTTCTTAGACGAGCAGGCACTTATCTTTCCGAACCAAGCAGGCTTTAGGGATCTCTTCGTTATCGATTCTCTAATTTCTAAGTATACTAATAATAACAAACGTCTTTATGCCTGTTTCGTCGACTTTAAAAAAGCCTTCGATTGTGTATGGCGCGAAGGTCTGCGATACAAACTACTCACCTCGGGAGTAGGCGGCAAATTTTACAGTCTTATAAAATCAATGTATTCTAACCCGCAAACATGCATCAAAACCTCCTCTGGTCTAACACCACCCTTCGTCACGGACAAAGGTGTGAGGCAGGGCTGTAACCTCAGCCCGACCCTATTCAACCTGTTCATAAATGATTTAGTTAAGATTTTAGATAGTCCAGAATGCGTGCCACCTTCCCTACATAATTTATTCATTTCCTGCTTGCTCTATGCAGATGATGTCGTAATTTTCTCGGAAACCGAGAAAGGACTCCAATGTGCCCTTGACAAACTAAACACTTTCTGTACAAAATGGAAACTCCAGGTTAACCTGAAAAAGACCAAAATTGTAATTTTTAACAAAACAGGGCGCATATATAGAAATACAAAGAATCTGGCAGTTTCTCACTAGCTAAGAAACAACTTGCTTTAAAAGCTCGCAAAGCTGTTTTTAGCATCAAATCTCTTATCCGCTCTCAAATCTCATTAAAAGCTTTACTAAGGATCTTCGACGTGTGCATCAAATCAATAATGTTATATGGTTGTGAAATCTGGGGAAAAGATTTTTCAAATGACAACTGTCCTATTGAAACTGTCCATAATCGCTTTTGTAAAAACATTCTTGGGGTACACAGAAACGCTAGCAACGGAGCATGCAAAGCAGAGCTCGGTAGACTGTCACTAGACACAGACGTATCGGTACGCCTAGTCAAATATTGGTTAAGACTGAGGCAACTAGACGCTAATACACATCCCCTACAAGTCGACGCTTTACTATCTCAAAAACTTGGTTAATGCTTGGTCACAAGAAAAATGTGCTACACCATGTGAAAGAAATACTTGACCGCAGTGGTTTCTCATATATCTGGCATAACGACAACGTCGATCTCGATAAGCAACACATATGTACATTACTTAGAAGTAGACTCTCTGACATGTATATCCAAACCTTTCTTTACAATCTCTCTGTTGATGTCGGTAAGCTAAGATTTTATAGACATCTGAAACCTGTATACACAATGGAACGTTATCTTCACATCAAAGACTTCGATGTTAGATCTGCCACATGTAAGCTTAGAGTTAGCGCTCATACATTAGAAATAGAAAAGGGTAGATACAAACAATTGCCTGTTAACGACAGAATATGTAAATATTGTACAGGAAACGCAGTGGAGGATGACATGCACTTTATTTGTCACTGCCCTCATTATAGCACCGAAAGAGATCAGTTATTTGAAATGGTCACCAAAATGTTCCCCAGCTTTATTTACCTTCCCAGCCTACTAAAAACTGCATTTCTATTAACACCTCCCAATTCATATATATCTCAAAATGTCGGCCATTTCATACTCCACTGCACACGGAAAAGAAGTCAAACCCAACAATAACTGCAAATGTATATATAAAGTAGCATTAGCATCACTTATTATCATTCTACTGTTTACTGTTGTTATTATGTTCTTGCAATTAGCCCTTGGGCATGAATTTGCAATAAACTTTCCTATTGTTGTAAACTAAGGTGACCTGTGACGAATAAACATAGTTGGAACGAGAATTGAACCTTGGCTTGGTGTGGTGAATTAGTGTAACAACCTACCTAGTTTAAGAGCCCAAATCCTACTGCTAGACATATGTGACAAATAGTTCCCACACCGAAATCGTTTTGAAACTCTGCGCTGTTCGTACGGGTCACTTTATCCTTTCCTATTCGATGTTTGTGTAATTTGTAATCTCCTCTGTCGCCACGCTATTGACCCCGGCCCTGTGTTCAACCTTGCTCTAGACTCTCCCTGCCCCTGAAACAGTTCTTTTTGCCGGTTCGAAGTCCCGCTAGTTTTTTTCTTTTCACGGTAATTGTAGTCGGCTGTGGTAAAATTTATTGTTTCCGCTGTGTGTGCTTTTGTCGGTGCAAAATTCCGTCGGTTTTGATATTTTTGTGAAACGCGTTTCGCGACCTTTCACCGCCAAATTCTGCTAAATTTGTTTCGCCTGACTCTTCTCATTCGTTCGGTTCCCACTTGCTTAAAGTTGCCGTTTCTGGGTCGGTCGGATTCTCGACCCCCTAACCTAGTTCTTGAACCTACTTTTTCCGTGTTGTTCTGGTCCTCCCGTCCGAAAAGTACTTTTCCGTGCAGTCTCCTTTCTGCCCGTCCATATTTTGTGCAAGTTCGTTTTTCGTGCCGTATTCGTTCGCCTGTCCGGAGTTCGGGTTCTAGGTCAACTTTTAAATCATTTTCCGTCTAGTTCCGTAGCGCTCGGTGCCAGATTGTTCCCTTTAGTGCCGTTCACTCGGGTGAGGTTTTCTCGCAGTCATTCTGAGCTTAACGTTTGATGGTCAGTTAACCTTCTGTGTTTTCGGAGATAGTCCCGTCGTACTTTTCCCTAAATCCGACGCCTTTGCCAAACTTCCGTCCGACTTTCATTGTTCCGGGGCGCATTCCTCCCCTCGCTAACTTTAAAAATTGTGCCCTCCCGTCAACTTGTGCCGCTTTTGGTTCTTGTGAGTCACATTCTTTTTGCGGCGGGTTTACCGTGCCGCTTATTCGTTTGTGCGATTCGAACTTGCCATTGATCCACCCCCCCCTGTTAAATTTTCTGCGTAAGCTGCCGTTCGTCTCCCGAGCTTGGCACTATGTATTTGTCCTATAAAGCGCCCCTGCCTGATTTTGTTCCATTCTAGTCCTGAAAAGTTCGGTCTTCCGTTCCCTAGTTCAGCCTCATCGTTTCCATCGGTTGCCAATCGTTCCGTCAGTTTCCCCACCATCGCCCCATCTGTTTCCTGTGCCGCGTCACTTATCTGTTGGTACCCATCGTTTCATGACTTTTTAACGACCTCTGCTCATCTTCTGTCCGGAAATCCTGCATCTCGGTGTCTTTAGGTTGTTTTCCTTCCGCTCTCTCCGTCTGGTTGCTGTTTGCTTACTCATCTTTCTAACTATTGTCCTGGCTGCCACCCACTTGTGTTTGTCACCATACCGCACTTCCCTTATCTGATTGGTTTCATGACTTCGCTGTGAGTGGTGTCATCTTTCCTTCGTCTTCTGCGGTACATCCTGCCTCTTCGTGCGCTTGGTTTGTTTTTCTTACCCTCTCCCATCTGTTTCCCCTCCACCCTGCTTTGTCAGCACCGCCGTCCTCTTCCACGTAATCGCTCCGTGTCATCTTTCTTCTGATTTATTGCCCCTCTGCTCCTATATCTCTTCCGTCCCCACCGGTTGCGTCATCTACTAACGCCCAGTACATCTGTACCTCATTCCCCACTTATCCACACCTGCATCTGATCTCCTACCCTCTCCCGCTCTGACTGTCTTCTGTGTTCCGCCCCCTTCCCCCTTCCAACCTAACCATGTCGGACACTAGCGACACTGACACTATTCCTAACGATGAGGTTGTCGTTTTTAACCGCCCCCGTCCTGTGCCTGCCCGCCAACAGCGGGGCCAGCCCGCCAATAACATGCCGGGTAACCTTAACCCCTTTTATGCCCCCCCCCCCCCGGCCTGCGAACCCCTTTTTTCCAACCCTGCGGCCGCCGCCGCCCCTCAGGCGATTAACCCGTTCGCTCAGGCCGCCGCTCCTCCAGTGTTTAACCCGCTCGCCCATGCCCCTGCCTACGCAGCCCAGTTTATCAACCCGTTCGCTCCGGTCCCCTTATATGCCCCTCGAGCTTTTCCCCAGTATGCCGCTTACCCTGCTGTGCCAAAAGCCACTATGCCTGCGGCCCAGGGAGTCCCGGCTGCTCCCCAGGCGCGCAATCCCTTTGCTGCCCCTCCCAATCTTGCTAACCCCCCTGTGTACCCAAACTTTGGCAACGCTAATCCCGCAAACCCCCGGGGACACCAAAATGTGGCCCATCAAAATCCTCCCCAACCCCCCTAAATTGATGTGCCGATTCACGGGCACTTCCTCAGTTTCCTGGGAGGAATTCAAGACACACATTCAGAACGACCGAGAATATGGCCAGTGGTCAGACGCGCTGGCCAAAGCCACCCTTTTGCGTCATTTGTCGGGGGATGCTCTCTCCACTCGGATGATGCCAAATGCGATGCCAGGCACGGTGCAAGTAAAAGACAAAAATAGTGCAATCATAGTGATATTTGATAAGATCACAAACAGGAACAGAATGGTGTTCTGGTGTCTGTCTTCACCCGTGAATCTCGGCCGGCATAATGCTGCCACGCATATAAGACCTAGAAGTTCAGTCAGTCGCATTAAGAAGAGAATTTGAAAACTCGGAAGTTAATCCTTTCCTGCTAATGCTACAAATTCCTTAGAGAAAAAAGCAGTAATTGTCGACAGCAGGGAAAGAAAAATTCCATTTGCTGCCTTCAGAGAAGATGTTTTGGTCTCTGCGACGTTGTTTCCCTCCGAGAATGTTATTTATAGAGTATCTCTGTCTGCTTTCTTGTGGTTGGACCTAGTGGTAGCAGAGTTCTGTTGTCAATAATTGATGGGGATAACCGTACTTTCGTGGTCAGGTACTCTCTGCAGCTTTCATGGGCTTGAACTTTTTTCAACTGTCATCAGAAATCCACAACATAGGAGAGAAAAAAGTAAGGCGTTCACACAGCGATACTTTCGGGTATGTTGCTTCCGATCTCCCACGAAGAAGGCGTTATTTTCGCTTTCTTGTGTCTTTGTGTTAAGCATTCAGAAAAATATGGTTTTGTATGTTTTCATCGAGTCACGGCGATATGACTGTTTTCTGTAAAAAGAAAATTTAGACACTGCACTGCATTGCATATACACACAATGACCTTCATCAACTGATTGTTAATGTAAAAACGTTAAGCCTATGACCCTTTATATGAATTATGTTTTTTTTTCCGATTTGTTCGTCAAGTATGTGTTTACCTGTTAAACGTCGGTCGGTTGATTAGAAGAGACTGTAAGTGATACTGAATACATTGAAGTTGATGACTAATTTTTTTTTCATTCAGTAGATTGCTTGCACCTTGTGGTCTAAACAGTTATGATGTACATGTATTTCCAAGTACTTGGGATTTTTTAACTTTTTCACTTGAAACTAATTGAAAGTTTATCAAAGATTTATTTTTCATTTGTGTTTGTATGACTGTACTGTAACAAAAGGGCATGACCAAATTGGTGCACTTTTTCTAAAAGCTTGAACCAAAGATGTGCATTTGCTAGCCTTTTTCTATTTTGTGACTTGTGTATTGTACAGATGTGACTTTTTGTATAGATGGACCAACTGTATACATTTGTAAGTGAAATGCAAAACTTTCTCCTTGTCAATGTTGACATGCAATGTAGAAATGACTTTGAGCATTAATTTTATATTGTTGAAATGTAGTTCCTGTCAGAGGTTACTATGGTTATATTAGTTTGGTAGTTAAAAAAAATTTAAGATGCCATGTACATAAATCCTTTGAACTGCTTTCGATCCCCCTATCAGTTTTGAGATATATTCTTTGAGATATATATTTATATGATAAGGGTATAAATATCACACTATGAACAGGGAATCAGTCTAAGGAGGTGCAAGCATGTTTTTGTAATCCTCCGCATTACCGAATTGTATTAACTGCTAATTGTGAAGATTGTGAAAATCTAATTGTTTTCCAACTTCGAAAATAAATGCAGTTACAGAACAATGTACTTGTCTATGGTCTAGTGGTAAATATCATACAGACAAAAAGAAAATGAAAATAAATGAACTTGAACATTTATTTGCATGTTTAACCAAATGTAAGTTAGACAATCATTTTAGAGGCCATATAGACAATAGAGAGTACCATTAGCCCTTAAAAGGCTCAATTTAGGTGGACAATAGGCAGGGATAACATCAAGGTCTTTTTAAGTCAGACATCATGGTTTGAAAACTCTGCCTTTTCTGTGTCTCAGAGATTAGTCATACCTTTGGCATTATACATACATCAGTGTTGTGATTTTGTCATACAAAAGGGGAAGGACTTTCTTGTCTATGATATACAAGTTGGCCTCCCTTCTAAATCACTGCAAAAACGTTCCATGAATATTTTAGGTACAAACTCTGATCATTGACAATCATATTGCATACAGGTTTGACCACATGACCATAGGTTAATTATAATTTTCTTCTCTCTTCTCTCTCTCCTTAGATACGATAGATTAATTATCTCCAAAGATATTCCCTGAATATTTAGGTACATACTCTGATCATTGACATAAATATTTGCATATTCTGATACAGATTTAACCTCATGACCATAACTTAGGATAGATCAATTATAATTTTCTTCTCTCCTTTCTCTCTTCTTAGATAGGATAGGTTAGTTATCTCCAAAGCTATTCCCTGAATATTTAGGTACATACTCTGATCATTGACAGTCATAAATATTTGCATATTCTGATACAGATGAAGTACAACTTGTGATTGAAACCATTACAGGTGTGCGTTACGAACCATTCTGATGGCAGCTACCTGTTTTTGGTCTTTAACCCAGTCATGGAACTTTCCCATGTCAATCCTGGCAAGTGGATCTGTGTAGCCTGGGAAAGTCTGGTAGAAACTTGTATAGTCCAACACATTTGATTCCAGAATTTCCTCCACTAGGGTCTGTATGTCCTTCTCTTTCCTGGCAACAGTCCTCTCTCTGGACTTCACATGACGGTTACATTT